ATCCAGATAGACAGGCCTTGCTGGGTTCCCCACTCAGGCTGTTAGCACCAGATCAGACCCTTTTTGTCCAATCGTCTTTCTACAGAGCTGTCCATACTTTGTTGAACCGAAGCATAAACATGGAGACTCTCCCCTATATTTCTGAGTTTTTATTCTGTATGCTCCCATGTGTACACACATGCTAAATATATTTGTATGTCTTTTCCCCAGTTACTCTGCCTTTTGCAAGTTGATTTTTCAGCAAATTTCAGAGAGCCAAGCCCTTAGTCCCTACACCTCCAGCTATCTCGTGGCTATGCTGAGGATTCAGTTTTTAGCGGTATTCTCAGCTTGGCTTACTTTAAACCTGCACCTCGTTAGCTGATCCTAAGTGAAACCATTCTTTCATAAACACAGTAGGAATGAGGCAGATGCTCTCTATCTCAGGCATTTAACAAGCTCTTAAGTTAATTACAAGGGAGGCAGGCTAAGGAGACAAAGGCAAGCCTTGGGCTAGTCAGTTAGTAAGTAGTCCAGTAAGCACAGCTTGCTGTCCACCTCAGTTTCTCCTCCTATAACAAAGGCCATGACATTGACTACCACATAACTACTTTGGAAAGCACCTTGACATACATTCCTTTTCATTGTCCTGGGTTATGCAAAGACATGTCAGTAGCAACATTACTTAGTTTCTAATTATTCTGGAGGGAAAAGTCGTCTTTTTCTGTCTACCTCCTTCAGTATCTTTCACGTTTTGATATTACCCATGCATCTGCCCTCATCTCCCTTTGTTTTTCTTTTTAGAATTGCCAAGGTCATGGCTAATCCCACTCTTTCGCCCAGGCGAAAGAGTGCAGTGGTGCGATTTTGGTTCACTGCAATCTCTGCCTCCCAGGTTCAAGTAATTCTCCTGTCTCAGCCTCCCAAGTTGCTGGGACTACAGGCACTTGCCATCACGCCCGGCTAATTTTTTTGTATTTTTAGTAGAGTTGGGAGTTCACCATATTGGTCAGGCTGGTCTTGAACTTCTGACCTCAGGTGATCCACTCTCCTCAGCCTCTCAAAGTCCTAGGGTTACAGACTTGAGCCACCATACCCACCCTACAGCAGAATTTTGTTCAATATAATTATGCAACATTTTCTGAAAGTCAGGACAATATTTTCTAAATAATATTTTTGTTCTCAAATAAGATGCTAAGTCAGTGGGAAACATTTCAATTCAATTATGGGCAACTTGTATTTAGCATACGGTTTAGCGATCTAGTCTTTTGTTTTTCTTTTTTGAGCAACTGCTTTGTCTTTCAGCAGTGGCAAATTTATCCTGATTTAGAACTCTATTCTATGAGCATTCATCCTCAATATCCTTTCTTGTGTTTGTATAATTCCTTTTTAAGAAATATATATTCAAATATTTATAATTTGAAGTTTTAAAAATTAATCTTTAATACTCTGCTCCCATAGCAATGTCTTATTTGAAAGGCCATCATTTTGTTGGAAAAATATGGGAAATATTGTTTAAAAACTGTTTATTCCTGGAACCAATGTGATAGTGATGGATATGAACATATTTCCAAAAGGAAGCAAAATAAACACATCAATCAGTGAATTCCACATCTGCATATGCCGCAGCTAGTGCTTTTGAATAAATTCTCAATCATATAATTTCTCCTTTAAGACTTGATTTCTGCAATTTGAATTGCTTCATAAGCCTTTCTATCCTTCAGATGCCTATACTCTGTAACTATATTTTCCTAGCGTTATGTCACAAATTCACTTTAAATTTTGGTTAAAGTTTCAGCGTCAGAACTTACTTTCGGGTGCCAGGAAAGGTGTAGCTTGGATCCCCTTTCTGGTTGTCAGACCCCTCCCACCTCATTTGTTGTGAATGGAACACTTTCTTTAGAATGCTTTCTTTTAAAAACTTGGAGATAATCTTCTCTATTCGAACATTGCTGAACAACTTGCCTTCTGGAAGCCAGATGATCTTGTCATATCATCCATGGCAGTGGGGAAGGGGGAGGTATTCAGGAGACACAGAAACCCTCTTAGGAACAGAAAAAGGAATTACATTTACCTAAAAGTCATGAATAAAAGATCAGCCTAACTAGAAAAACAACCCAGAGTCTTGCAGCTGCTGCGCTGCGGGATCAATTTAGTTAATAATACACTGCTAGCACCTACGCGGGCTGCTGGCCCAGCGTGCGGCTCTCATCACAACAAGAAAACACTTGGGAGAAAATAATAACATATTAGAAGCCCAGTTTTGAAAAGGTAAATCTATTAGCCAGTGAATAATAGAACTGGAAATAAGAGGAATACAAAACAAAATACAAAATGAAAGCATTTGTTCCATCAAAGAATATTAGCACCATGGGCTGAGACCTGGTTGACTCAGATCAAGATCACACAGCTGGTTAGCAGCAGAATATTTGCCAAGTGTCATTCATGATGGATGTCTCCCATCCTGAACAGTGTTCTTTAACCATACCATAATTAGAGAAAACGAATAAGACTGATTCCCAGAAGCGTTAATTCATTGGAAAAAAATACATATATGTATATATTTCCATCTGATAGTTTATTTAAAAACAAAATTTAGGCCAGGTGTGGTGGCTCACACTTGTAATCCCAGCACTTTGGGAAGCTGAGGCAGGCAGATCACAAAGTCAGGAGTTTGAGACCAGCCTGGCCAACACAGTGACACCCCGTCTCTACTAAAAATACAAAAATTAGCTGGGCGTGGTGGCAGGCGCCTATAATCCTAGCTGCTCTGGAGGCTGAGGCAGGAAAATTGCTTAAACCGGAAGGCAGATGTTGCAGTGAGCCGAGATCATGCCACTGCACTCCATCCAGCCTGGGCGACAGAGCTAGACTCCGTCTCAAATAAAAAAATAAAATAAATTAATAATTGTGACCTACTTCAGATTTCAGCCAAGGTCAGCATGAGTCAGGTAACTATAAACATTCCATCAGTTGCTACTGAGTGCAGTGACTAAGAACATATGAGCCAATTTACATGGAGTGTAAAGAATTACATTTTAGTAGATCACTTCCTTGGCATGTTGAATGGCTTAAAACATGGTTTGTTCTTTGCTATTTATATAAATGAAGGTTTAGAGGAATGCACTCAACTTTGCTTGAAAGAAAGAAGCTGGGGATATGTCTTCTAGCTGCCAGAATATTCTACCCCCTTTCTCCCCACCAAAACGCCTGTAAAATTATGAGAATCACATTGAATTCAAATGGTTCTTGTTGGTTATGTAACATATTTTAACTATATACTTGCATTTAAAGTATATTATTTTCATTTTTTAAAGTTTTACTTTTTGAGTTTGCAGGTTGAAAGGTAAGAAATGGGATGGGCCAGACACAGTGGCTTTCGCCTATAATCACAGCACTCTGGGGGGCTGAGGCGAGAGGATTGCTTGAGGTCAGGAGACCAGCCTGGCAACATAGCAAGACCCTATCTAGGCTGAGGTGCGAGGATTGCTTAAGCTCAGGAGGTGGAGGCTACAGTGAGCTGTGACCACACCACTGCACTCCAGCCTGGGCCACAGAGCAAAATTCT